AGCCAGCTCTGCACCTGTGCCCTCCACTTCCCACCTGTGTCCAAGAAATTCTTCCCCTCAGGAGCCTTGACCTCTAAGGCGGTGGGTGGGTGGGTGAAGAGGTGGAATCTGGCAGCCTACAGCACGACCCTAAGTCCCCACATCCCTACACCTCGGACTTTTACGGAAGGTAGAGAGAGGCGGCAGCATCCTGCCATCCCTGGGGACCGGGACCAGAGTTGCCCTGCTCTACTGCTGGCACCCCCCGTGGGGAGGCGGCGCCTCGGGAGCAGCAGCCGGGGCGCCCTGAGAGCCTTCGCGGAGGGGTGGAGGCAGTACTGATGGAGAATGCGCTGCCGCTCCGGCTCCTGCCCGATCTGCGTCCAGCCTCCCATCACTTTTTCCAGTACTTTGCTCATCATCTGTCAAGCTCTCTGGGGAGACAGAGAAGGTGGGAGAAAGCCCACAGGCATCCCCAGGAGAGCTCTCTCCTTAGAACGGGGGCCCGTCAGACCCCGCCCCGCCCTGCCCACCTTTCCCGTCCTCCGGGAGGCAGCCCGGGCGCCCGCGCCGCGGCTCCCAGCAGAGCTCTGGGTTCTGCTGCATCTGCTGGCGCCGAGCGGCGGGAGGCGACTGCAATAAAGGCACGGATAAAAAGCCTGGGTAACTAAAACTCGAATGCACCTCTTACCATTGGACCGCCGGACAATATTCTCCAGAAACGTGTTCTGCGGGGCCACCAGCCCCCTCCTGCCCCCGGCCATGGTCATCCTCCCGGCTGCTCGGGGTCTCGGGAGCGTCCCGGCGCGGCTTCTCACCGCAGCAGGAAGAGGGGCGCGGAGCCCGCGCGCGATCCCGCCTCGAAGCGCCCCATGCGCCCCACGGGGACCCGGGCTGGCAGGGGCGGCGGCTCCCTCCGGCTGCCACCCTCGCGCCCTCTTCGCGCCTCCCTCCCTGCGGCCGGCCTCGCAGTGCACTCGCACAGGCTCGCCTCGCCGCAGCCGCCTGCAGGTGGGCGGAGGGAGACGCGGCGCCTGGGCCAGCGGCGCCCCCTACCGGGCTCGCGCCCCGAGCCCGCCGGCGGGAGACCCAGCCCGAGTCCCGCGGCCGTCGGGAGGCCGCGAGAGGCGGTGGGCCAAGGCTGAATGAGCAGCGCCACCGTCTGGGCACAGCCGAGAAATGCGTTCAGGCTGGGAGGAGAGGAGGGCACCAGGAGCAGCTTTCCTGGTGGATTCATGCCCAACAAAGACACCACGAGTCTTGGAGGGTATGATGACTCTCCTCCTTTCTTCTGTTTCAGGCCGGACCCCCTGGGACCTCTGAAGCTCTTGGAACACTTTCCTGCCTTCTCTTCTGGTCTCTCAGCCTCGTTTGTAGAAGTTGCCCCACTTCAATTCTCAAACCAGGGTTTTACCAATAATTAATGAAGTTGTAAGAGGTCAGACCTGCAGACTGACTGACTGAGCTCCAGAACAGCTCAGTTGTGGTGTTTTTAAAGGTAACCAAAAGCCAGATGCAAGCTCCGACATTCGGTAAATTTGCTGACTGACTGACCTGATTTCCACTCTATCCAGTGACTATTTTACCAAAAAGACAAGAAAAAAAATTATATACATATATATATATATCCAAAAAATGTATACATATTTTAAGAAAGGAAAAAACTGTGTTAAAATTGTAATACAATGACTGACACTAGCATTTATTTGATTAACACCATTTTTTGAGCGAACGTCCTACTACACATTGCTACCATAATTCAATTCAACTTTGAAAAGTACTACATAGATAACATCTGTTAAAATGTGTACCTTTCTTCGGTATATATATATATATATATATATATATATATATATATATACACACACACACATATATATATGTATATATATATATGTGTATATATATATATATATATATGAGTTTTTTAGCTGAAGCACAACCTAGTATGATCAGTGCGTAAGGTTAACAAACAGGAACAGACTGTCTGACAGACATCAAAACTGTGGACTTGTCTCTGAGCGCAAATGCTTGGTGTAGGAGTGTGGAGCGGGTAGCTTCCCCAACTTTAACATTAATTAATAACCACAGCCTTGACTTGAAGGACAGTCCACACTGCACAGGATGAGGTGCTGGTCTCCACACCTGCCCCCTGTCACAATGAAGAGTCACATACACCAAAGGTTCCTGGGAAGGAGCTCAGACAACCATCCTTCGTTCATTTATTTTGGAAGATTTCTACCTGCACATACTCTGTGCCTGTTCTTTTACTATATGTCCCCAGTGAGTGTGGCCAGAGACTATCTGTGCCCCAAACAAGGAATAAGTTGATAGTTTTCTAGTTAGTTCCAGGCTGGGTCAACAGTCAACACAAAAATGTTAAAAGGAAAAAAAAACTGAGATTGCAACCTCAGTTGTCCCGGTTAACTGCCTTGACATATCCTATTATTGTACTGCAGATACCCTGTCTCCATTTATCAATATCAAAAATAGAAGAACTAATTCTTGTCCAGCAATCAGTTGCTGTGAAGATCAAAAGTAATTATGTACCCTAAAATATAAAATGCACTCTAAATTGTAAAGTGTTATAGCAAGGTCAAACATCATTAGAGTAGGTAAATAAATTGGCCATTAAAACATCACCCTTTGTCTCATCTTGTGCAGACACAAAGTAAACTGACTGTTTTAGTAGAGTTAGGTAAGGCTTGCATAGGCTTTGAAATTAAAGTAATGAATGATACGCATCTTCTAACACATTCTAACCAGCACATCTGTCACTGGAATTAGACCTATGATTTCTTAAACCCTAGCTCCGTCTAGTGGTTCTATGTTCTATTACAAATGAGATAACAAATGGTAGTTGAACAGAACTTACTCTGAAATGTATTTGGTGCCTAGTTGGCTCTGTGGTGTCTGCCCATTTCATTTGAGTAAGTTCATTTAAATAAGTCTCTTTAAGGTTGTTATCTACTGTAAAAAACATGCCCAAGGGAAGATTTTTCATGACAATATTAAAACTCATCAAGCAACCTCATACGCCTGCCTGTGAGAGGAAGATAAAGGAAAAAATGGGGGTAAAGCTGTCATACAGACTTAATAAAATTTCTCAGATTTTAATGAGCTATCATGTTCTGTGGCTCAGATAAAAAGAAAACAGATGATACTCATTTGAGGTGAGAGGTATTAAAGCCTTGGTAGGCTACCTGATAAGGAAAAGGAACAAGGAGATATCTTCCATTTTAATTTTAAACTACTACAGTGGTTCTCAGCCCACACTGTGTGTGTGTGTGTGTGTGTGTGTGTGTGTGTGTGTGTGTACCATTTTGAATACTGTAATTTTTAGTGGCACGCTTGAAGAGATTAAAAGACCTGAAATGACACTAAAAAGTCAGCCATCTTTAACCACCATCACTGCTGTGACAGCATCTCACAGTGTCTATGAAAGCACACCCAGCCATTCCCCCATTCTCTTGGTCAACCCTCAATGTTATCTGGTCATGGGAATAGAGTTGTGTTCTGCCCTGTTCACATTCTCTTCGATATTCACAGGCCAAGGTTGCGTGTGTTCAGTAAACACACCATCTTTCCTGGGGCTGGTTTGACAGTGCTGTGCTTCTTACCTCTTACTTGCCACCTTCTGTTCCCTACTCTACATTCAGTTCCAGGATCTGCTTGGCTTAATTTTCTGTCTGAGATCTGTCAGTGTGATGTAGGAATCTCAGTTAGATCCAACTTTAATCTTACAAATGTGTCAAAATTTGGTAATACATTCGTCAAGGATTCACAATGAACCGATGTGTTTTGGCAAACCAGCTGAGAGCCCCTGTGGGGCTTTTCCTAATAGGTAAAGCCACTTTTATTTAAAGGGATAATTCTAAATAATCATGACCAGAGTTCCAATTGAACTGCCCCTGTCTCTCCATGCAGAAAGCCCCTACAACTGCCTAGAACTTCTACCAAGAAAGACACAGAGTCTGAAATAAAAATTTATTTACTCTGATGTTTCTAGCTGGCCTTCCTTCTCAGTGGTTCTCCCCCTGGATTCCTCAGTATTTTGTTTACCCCTCAATTGTAACACGTGTTACAATAGCACTGCACAATAGATGGCGAGCTCCTTGAAACAAATATAAACTTGACCAATCTTTTTTATCATAAATATAATTAAGCCATGCTATAATTAGTGAGTTTGCAAAAGGAATTGATAGTGACAGAGGCATAACGCTGCAAAGAAAGCATGGAGACAGAGGCCTGCAATCTGCCTGGGAATAGAGTCCAGGAGAAGACTGAAAAATCTCTATGCAAAAAAAAAAAAAAGTCTATCAAATGAAGATGACAATGTGACACACCAGAGGGAGCAAATGCAATCAGGCAAAGACAGGGATTACATTTTTTTTTCTTTTATTAACACTATGTGAGGTATAGATGACAGATTTCAGAAACCCAAGAACCTCTCACACAGAGGAGAGTTGCCTATGAGTTCTGGAAGGCCTAGATGGGAGCCAGAATGAGCAAGCAGGTATGTTCCATCCTTAGCAAGCAGTTAGCATCAGTAGGAGTAACTGAACCTAGAAGTGACTTCACCTACTCGGCCACCATGCATGAAATATCTAAAAGAGGGGAAATTTGCAGCACAGGAAATTTCAGGGTCTATAACCCAATGACCAACATATTTATCAATATGCAATTTCTGTTAACAAAATTTCTTTTTAAATAGATTTATACGAAGAGAGTTGGGCAGGCCATATCTATTTGAAATATCTGTTCTGTATTCTAGGTATCTCCCCACAAGCGCTGGGAGAAGGAAGAGAATCTGCCTCAGTGAGAATCATAATCTATGAATCTAATTGACTGGAGGAAAGGATGCATTGATGTGGGTGTTACACTCAACTGTGACTAGCACACAGTGGGAAGTTCTCAAATTTAATTGCCCTCTCAATACCTACAGCTATTTTCCCTCTTTCTTACTTTCTCTTATCAAAAGAGAACCAGATCTTTTACCACATCCCCTCAATGGAAAACAATTAAAAGCCATTTACAACAGTCTTGTTTTATTATAACATTCCACATATGTGGGATGGAATTCTCCCAACTACCCTCACAGTGTGGGAACCCTGTGCTTGAATACTTATGTAGGAATCTCACATAGTCCTGTCAGAAACCAATAAGAAACTGCGCCTCTAGGAAAAACCTATACCGACCACCTTAATGTGTGACTGATAAAAACTCCCCTCTATAGAGAGCATACAGACATAATTACAAATTATACCAATAATAGCTCAACACCATAGATGAAACTCATACAACAGAATACTATTCAGTAATAAAATTAAACAAACTACAAATAAATGCAAACAACATGGATGAATCTCAAAAACATGCTGTGTAAAAATGCTTGAGACAAAAAAGTGCGTGGTATATGATGATTCCATTCACACAGAGTTCTAAACCAAACCGTCAAAGTTATTCAAACTTATTCTGAAAAGAAATCAGAATAAAGCTTGTCTCTCATGAGGCACACTGGGGATTGCCTGGGAAGAGGCATGACAGAACTTTCTGGAGCTATGACAACATTCTGTATCTTGATGCAAGTGTGGGTTATGCAAGTATATGTATTTGTCAAACTCATGAAATGATACATTTGAGTTTTATGCATAGTGTACATTTTATTTCAAAAAAGGCACCTGAACACATAGTGGACTTTATCTAATGATTTTCAGGCTAAGTATTTAGAGGTGAAGTATGTGGATATCTACAACTTATTTTGAAATGCATAAAAAATTAGATGGCCAAATAGATAAATATACGTATAATAAATACAGCACAGTGTTAACAATTATAACATTCAAGTGGTTAGTGCATAGGTGTCCACTGTACAATTCTTTCAACTTTTTTGTATTTTTTTCATATTTACCTGAACTACTATTTTAAAAGAAGGATAAAATAAAGGCATTTTCAAATACAGAAAGACGGAAACATAGACATTTGCTGAAAAACAAAACTATTTAAGAATATATGAC